GAGTCACACATGCTCCTGCAGACATTCCTCTGCTTTCCCTGACTTTGTGGTTAAGAGGTGCTGCACTGGCGTCAAGAAACACATCTGCCTTATCACCTCAGGTGTGTGTGGTGGCATCTGTGGTGCCCATTGCTGCTCCCAGGTGTGAACTTTTCTAGGTAGAGTGTGGGATCTGGTTTTGTGTAGGCGCAGAGAGGATGGACAGGAGAGCAGGGTCTGCAGGTTATGGCTGAGGAAGAGTGCTGGAAAGTGGCAGGGTGAGGCAGGTGCTTATTGATGTGGGTGTGTCAGCATGCATGCACACATGCTGATGGGATGGTGTGGGATGGTGTCGTGTGGAAAAAGGGGTCTTAGTAAAGTCATTAGGGAGAGAGGACCAAAAAAATAATTTCTTTCTGACCTAGTATGGCATTTAAGGGTGGGAATCCTTAAGTGAGATTTGATAATTAACATCTTAAGGTAAAGGTAAAGGTAAAGGCCCTCCCGTTGATCGTCGATTTGCTCGAGCGGGCCCAGTAACGTCTCCATTGGAGACTTTGTTGTTACTGTGTCTGGCATATCGAATACTCTCGGTAGCTTGCCGGGCTCTCCGAGAGGGGCGGAGGAATCGAACTCGGGTCATCCATGTTGGCCGCTTGTAAGGCGAACGCCCTACCGCTGTGCTATCGCTCTATTTATATATATTTTTGCTTTTTGGCTCATACCTGGCGATGCTGAGGGGTTACTCCTGGCTTTGCACTCAGGAATTTCTCCTGGCGGTTCTCAGGGGACCTATATGAGATGTTGGGAATCGAACCTGGGTCGGCTGTGTGCAAGGCAAATGCCCTACCCGCTGTGCTATCACTTCGGCCCCAAAAATGTCATTTTTAATTCCTGATCTGGGAAGCTTGCTAAAGAGAGTCAGTGATCATGTTTTGCAAGTGTGGGAGACCTGTGTTTGATACCCCAGATTATATGGTCCCCCAAGAGGCTCCCAAGCATAGACCCAGGAGTGGTAGCCCCTGAATACCACTATTATGGCCCCCACACCAAAAAACAGAAACACAAGTGACCTCCTTCATCTGATGATTTCTTTTCCCACTTTAATAGAAAGTTGAAGCTGTGAGATGAAGTTTGAGAGAAAGACCTTCAGGATGTGGGCTCCTATTGGTCTGAGATCCTTTGAACCTGACATTCTCAGTCTGTCCATACCCACCATCCTCTCCTCATTAGCACAAGAGTGCCTCCCACATGCAGCATGAGGCTGGGATAGGGGATAAAGTCAACAGGAACCAGAATGATTGGGTTCAATGATAAGCAGAATGTGGTGTTTATGTTGTTTGGGGATGTACAGATGTTAAACAGATAATTGCAGAAATATTATGTAAGTATAACCACATGACATTCCATGAAGAGAAATAGTACTCTGAGAGTATCAAAGATCTACACCTAATGTAGTTGGGAGAGATGTTTTCTTAGACTATCTGAAGAATAAGTTAGGAAGGATATAGAACATGAGTGGTGAGTAAAGTGTTTTTGTATGCTCAAAGAGTCTTCTTTGAAATAAAATAATATTATCTCTTTATGGTGGTGTTGGAAGGATGTATAGCACCATTCACAACCCAACTAACTCATGGTGAACACTTAAGTATATATTATAACACTTTGGGAATAATTATATACACATATTATATATATTATACATATATATATATATATACTTTTTGTCAGAGAATAACCTAATCATATGTTCTATCTTTTCTCATTTTTTTAAACTCAGAGGGGAAAAGAGTAAAAAGGAATATCAGAAACCAGAGCCATTCAGTGGCCTCCCTGGTGAGGGATGAGCTGTTCTGTGTTCAGAATTTGACTCTAAAGAGGAAATTTCCTTGGGGCCTGGAGTGTGACTCAGGAGTAGAACTCTTGCATTGTGGTGTGTGTGTGCGTGTGTGTGTGTGTGTGTGTGTGTGTGTGTGTCTCTATGGGGGTGGGGGGGCCGTGGAGGATGGAATGAGAGAGTGGAGGGGGTTGGCTTGGGTTTGGTGCCAGGCACTGCTCCTGGATCTGTGTATTGATATTCTCCTTGCCCTTGAATTGACTTCTTTGACCCATGGCTGGCATTGCAGCCCATACATGGGCATGTACCTGCCTGCCTGTGACTCTGGCAGAACAAAGAACAGTGGCTTTAAGGTGAGGGAGATTTGTTATCAGTACTGGTCCTCCCTTTCTTTGGGTAAGACCCTGTCCTTTGAATTGTTTCTAGTGCTTTTGGCCTCACATCCCATCAGTGTGGAGACGAGCTCAAAAGTCATTCAAGGTAAATGCTGATATACGAGGGTGGCACGCCAAGGCAGAGGACAAGATATGCGGGTTGCAAGCCGTTTGTTTCATAGATGTGTTTGAGGTGAAACTGCAACTTCAATGGAGCTTCGCAGGCACATAAAAAAAAAAAAATAGAATGGAACAATCTTTTCGTGAGTGCTTAATTGGTGATATGGCTGCTTCGTGGCAGGAGGATCTGAAACCAGTTCAAAAAGAGTTTCCCAGTGGGGGAGGCTAGTTGCAAGGCATCCTCAGAGGTGGTGATTTGTGAGGGCTGAGCTGTGAAAGGTGCAGGTGGTGTCTGAGGAGCACAAAGTGAGCTCCTGCCTCGCTGGTGCTCTGTGCAGGGATCTCTGGGAGTCCTGTATCCAGCCCGCCTGCTTTGGCTGCTGTGGCATCTTCTTTCACCACCTTTTTTTCCCCTCAGAAACCAGCTGGGCTTTACACAGTGTGAAGGATAGCCACGATTCTTTCAGAAGGTGCATGTTTCCTTGCAAACCAGAGGATTGCCGTTATCCGTTATCCGCTGAGATAACTGTGTGAGCTCTGACATAGCCCTGGCACACCCTGCAGGATGTCTGTTTGTGGTATAGCAACCAGCTCTGAAGATCAGAGCTCTCCCTAGGAAATTGTCTTTATAATGGAGAAAGCAGGAGGAACTAATTGCAGTGTAATCAGACCTTTTATCAGATGCTGTTTGGAAAACTGTGGTTGAGTACTTTTGCTCAAGGCCAAGTCTCCCAGGCTAGCAAAAGTCCACACTGAGCACATGAAGTGTGAGGTTTCAACTTCATTGTTTCTTCCTCCTCTCTGGATGGCCTCTTGTCAATCTAGCCCAAGTGAGGGTGGGGGCAGACATTAAATTGGAGAGGGCTGATACATTTAAATTGGAGAGGGCTCATTAAATTGGAGAGGGCGCAACATTTTAGCAGTGTTCCCCATACTACTCTCTCGAAGCCAAATCCTAGGCCTGGGAATGGTTTCCTAATTAACCAGAGAGGGGACAATAGGAAAGCTCACTTATTTATTTAACAAGGATATTTGGAGTATCGCCTATCTATCCAGCATTAGTATTGGATGTGAGGATGCAAAGATGAGCCACCCATGACCATCACGAAGATCAGGCTGGAATGGCAAGACAGATGGATTCACCAGTAGTTAGGGTGGAAGAGGAAACCATGGAAAAGGTCAGCGACCTAATGGGAAGACAGAAAGAGCACCTCCTGCAGTTGCAGATGTTGGTTGTAGGGGTGGAGTGGAAAGAGGAATTTGGGCAAAGGAGTCTCACTTCAGTAAAGACGTAAAGCTGCAGAGTTTGAGGATGGGTTTGCATTCTGTTGAGCAGTTGGTGTTGCTGGAGTGGGGAAGGGTGAGGCTGGAGAGGTTGGACAGGGCTGGATCGTACCAGGCCCTGTGTACAAGATTAAGGGACCAGGACTTTATTTATTAGACCAGCACCTGCAGAGGTGGGAGGGGAAGGCATTGTTTTTGGAATAACTCTTTAGTTGGATCATCATTATATGACTGGGCAGCTTGAGCCCTGAAGCCCTTCTAGGGAGCCTACTATCTTATCTTAGGATAGAGCTAAGGAAAGTTCTAGAAGTAGAGATGTGGGGGGAAAAGGGTGAATTTAGGATTTAACTCTCAGTTGACTGAGGAAAATGAAGAAATAGGAACCAAGTATGACCGCGGTTCTATTCTCCCTTTTGAACTGTATCGCTCTGGTCCAAATTGCCTTGCTCCATGTTGTTCTTCGATTGGTTTTGTTTCCTTGTAAACAGGGGAAGTAGTTCTTCTGGCTTCTATGGTTAGAGAGATAGTACAGTGGACAAGCTGCTTGCCTTGCACGGCTGACCTGGGTTCAGTCCCCAGCATCCCATATGGTCCCCTGAGCCTGCTAGGATTACTCCCTGAGCACAGAGCCAGGAGTAAGCTCTAAGTACAGCTGGGGATGCCCCTGCTACCACCCCACCCCCAAATGCAGGAGAAGTACTTAAAGGGTAGAAGGGTAGGGGCAGTGTTTTATATTGTTATTGGGGGGGTATAATTTTAGGTATTTAATGTTTATGCTATCGCTCCAGCCAGACACAGTAACAACAAAGTCTCCAATGGAGACGTTACTGGGCCCGCTCGAGCAAATCGACGATCAACGGGAGGGCCTTTACCTTTACCTTTAATGTTTATGCATAATATTTGAGTATACTAGAAATTTATTCCATTCGTCTAAGAGATGAAGAACTGAACACAAATGGAGATTTTCTTTATCCAGAGGAATACATTCATGACTCTAGGAGGGGATTTTAATAATGGAATACACCATCTAAAAAGAATTAAAAAGCTTGGGGACTTTAGAATAGGCTAGGGGCTGGAGAGCTAGTACAGTGGGTAAGGCACTTGCCTTGCATGCAGCTGGCTCTGGTTTGATCCCCAATCCCTGATTCCTGGCACCATATATAGTCCCTTAAACCGCCACCATAAGTGTTCCCTGAGCACAGATTGAGGAGTAAGCTCTGAGAACTATAAACAAATAAACAAACTTTCACCCCCACCGCAAAAAAAGAATGTTTAGAGGCGTGGGCTAGCTTTTATACTCTTTAGTTTTGGAAATAGGGTGGCTTGGCAGTGACCGGCTGGCCCAGAACATTATCTAGGAGACACAGAGAATTCTGAGGCATGTGTGTTTGTGATTCCTTCTGCAGGTCTCGAGTCCAGCCCCCGCTGTGAGCTGGTGCCTGTCAACACCTCCCACCCGGTGCAGGCCTTGATGGAGAGCTTCACCGTCCTGTCGGGCTGTGCCAGCAGAGGCACCACAGCACTGCCGCAGGAAGTGCATGTCCTGAACCTTCGTGGTGCTGACCAGGAACCTGGGCAGCTGAAGAGAGAGGTAGGCATGCGTGTCAACAGCCTGCTGAGTCTATGAAGACCCATATCTTCCACCCAGGCATTCACAAGGCTGCTCTATAGGAGCCTCTAGTGGGGAGGAGAACATACTTAGCCTCAGGAAAGAAGTCCAAAGAATGGATTTCTCTTTCACTGGGTAGCTCGCCGGGCTTCTCTTGAATAGAGCTCCTGGTTTCCAGCCTTCCTAACCTTCTCCCAGGTTCTATCCCACACCCCATATCATAAAGAATATTCGCTCAGATTTCATCCTTCATAAGCACAGTCATGAAAAGTAAATGCAGTACTATTTACTGGTCATTGTCAGATGTTTTGCTGGGGATGCGGTTCCAGTGGTGAAGTGCGTGACTCTGCTCCTATGAAGCCCAGGGCTCAATCCCCAGCACTGGAAAATGAACCAACAACATTGTCTTCTGTTTTTGTTTGGCTTTATGAACCTATTGCTTCTTCAGGATGAATCAGAGGAAATGGAAACTCTGCAGTAAAGAAGGCGTCATTTCACACTTGCACTAAAAGCTCCAGCAAAGGCACCTTCCCGCTCTTAGGCAGCTTCTCAAAAATGATGGTGAGCTAGGTGGTGATGGTAATGACAGTGGCTCTGCCCTGACTCTGGTCACAGCACTGGTGGAAATACTCATCCACTTACCACTAATATCCTCATATTCATTATTTTCACTTTATGAGTGACATATTCATGCAGACCTACCCCACTGGCCCAAGAGAGAAATGGCTTCTTTCCTTGTGATACAGAAACAGACTTAAATGTGGGTAAATGGCTCTCAAACTCTCTTGAAATAACACATAGTTACCTTTTTTTTTTAAAGATTCCCTGAGTCATATGTGGAATATAAAGTAATAGAATTGGAGGCTAAAACCCAAGAATAGTAAAGATAAGTACCAGGGGGATTACTCCATGGCTTGGAAGCCGGCCTCACATGCTGGGGAAAAAGGCAGCTCAGATAGAGAAGGGACCACCAAGTAAAGGGTGTTAGGAGGGCTCGCTTGAGATGGGAGATGTGGGCTGAAAGTAGACTATAGATCGAGCATGATAGCCACTTAATACCTCTATTGCAAACCCAAACCACAATACAGAGAGAGAGAGAGAGAGAGAGAGAGAGAGAGAGAGAGAGAGAGAGAGCGCAAAAGGGAATGCCCTGCCACAGAGGCAGGGTGAGGTGGAGGGGACAGGGTAGGGGTGGTGGGAGAAATGCTGGGACCATTAGTGGTGGTAAATGGGCACTGGTAGAGGGATGGGAACTCGATCATTATATGACTGAAACACAAGCACGGAAGTTAGTAAGTCTATAACTATACCTCACAGTGATTCACTAATAAAAAATTTTAAAAAAAGATTCCCTGAGTCAGAAATGCCATCACTCAGGTGTTCCCCTTCAGGGAGAGAGAAATCACAATCAAAACCTTGATCTCAGATTAACTTAAGAAAATTAATGCAGGATAAAGCTAATCTTTCTTCTGGGCAAGAAAGTTGATTTCCAGATCCATTTGTTTATGAGCATCAGTCACTCTGCCCTTTGTGGGGAACAGGAATAGGAGAGGCAAGGTGTCCAGAAGGAAAAGCAGACTGATTTTAATCTCTCAAAAGTGTGCAGAGTTGGCTCATTTCAAAGATAAATCATCTAATGTTTCTAGCTATGTTGGAAATTATTGTTAATACTCTTGGTCGCTTGCCATTGTTGCAGCAACACATACTTCAGTTCAGATTTCTTTATCCCAGTAATGTGTCTTTAATTCCTAACTTATGGGAGAGAATTTGTGGTGGGAGGGAAGGGAGGAAGGGAGGAAATGCAGCTCCAATGAAACATTGCTGACTCCAGCAATTCTTTAGCAGCAATAATTACTCATTTTATATATGCTTCCCTTGGAGGAACTGGGAAAGAAAAAGCATGTCCAAGCTGTCAATATAGAAGAGGCATTGGCAGAAAATCCTGGATGTTAAATTGTGTGGTACTGTTGTTGACTCTGATAGTAGAGTCTTATGAGACTACTAACTCCAAAGAAAAAGAACTCAAGACTGACAGCTGGGTTCTTTCACGTGTGCATTTGCTGCGTGAGCTCAAACCGCACATGGTGTGCCGAGGCCACATACTGTGAGCTGTCCAAAGAGGTGGTGATGGAACATGTGCAGTGAGGCAGTGAAGGAGGGAGCCTGCGAACAGGGATAGAGCTTAAATTTGTTCACAAACTGGCATTCTTCTTTCCCCATTGGTATAGTGTATGCCTGATTTTGTGTTACCCATTAGAGCATAGTTTTAGAACTGGAAAACTGAAGGGACTTTAAGACTTAGCTGTGGATCAGCCCTTTTGAAATTAAGATGTTGGGATGGGTGATCCTTGGTAAGTTCCTCTGTTCTGAGGGACTCTCAGATAGTAGGCCTTGTAGCTTTTTTTGTGTATGGGGTGAATATACAGAATGGTACAGCAGCTGGACCTTCACAGAAAAAAAGCTATTTTTTTCAGATGGTAAGATGGGTGTGGAGAAATTTCCCTCCTTTGTATATACCAGTGGATTTACATTACTGCAGCCATGCACACAGTTTAAAACACATTTTGGGGGTGCCAGAGAGATAGTTCAGGGGCTAAATCACTTGCTTTGCCTGAGGCCAACTCAGGTTTTATTCCTGGCACTGCATAAGGTTCCCAGAGCAACACCAGGAGTAAGCTCTGAGCCCACTAAATATGGCCAAGATAAAAAAAAAAAACAACAAAAAAACCCCAACAACAACAACAATTCACCGCCACCCCCAAATAATGATTTTTCAGGTCCTGAAAGATAGTTCAATGGATTGAAAGCATGCTCTGCACATAGGAGACCCAGTATGCAAAGGGTCTCCTGAGCACTGATAGTGAGTGTAGCCCCTGAGCTTGGTTGTATATGGGCCCCAAACAAACAGTCATTTTCAAAATACAAATCACTGAATCCCCCCTCCTTTCCTGTTGTTGCAACAGTTGTTGCTGTCACTGGGGGTTACATACACGCATGCCTGTGGTGCTCTCAGGGGCTCCCACATTGTGTTGCAGTGCGTACACTCACACTTGGTCAGCGTGCTCACCAAGGGTTGCTCTCCTTAAGTTGTGTTGCTTGCACTTGCTGAGGGATAAAGTCGTTGTGGGTCTCACATACACACACAACTGGATGTGATGTGGTGGGAAATCACATGTGGTGCCTGGGTCACAGACAGCAGAACTGCCAAGCCCAAACAGCAGAGTTGTTCGGTGAACACCTGTGGGGACACCCAGGATTAAATGTGTGACCATATGCTTGCAGGCAGGCATTCTTAGCCAGTGAACTTTTCCCAGGCCCTTACAAATCATTTGAAACACGCCCCAGCAATTCTACTCTTAAGAAGATACCCAGGAGAAATGAATTCACAGAAAAATTTATCCATGAAATATCTAGCTAGAAAGGCCTTTTTAACATTAAAGTGGAGTGATTACAGCTAATAATGCTGTACTGTGTATTTCAAAGTTGTTGGGAGTAAATTGCTAATGATGTCATCATAGGAAAAAAGTTCTTTGTGGTGATGGATGTTAACCAGACTTATTGTGGTGACTATTTCACAGTGCATACAAATGTCAGAAGACTGCTATATACCTAATATGTTGGATGATCATTGTATGATGAACTCAGACAGTCTCTCACCCTGTTCGTTCCATTCTAGGCCATGGGTCCCGATGTGAAGTTCTTCAGCTGATCTTCTCGGTCCTATCTTGGCATTAAAATCACCCACAATGATCTTGTAGAAGGTGTGGTCTTCTTTATAGAACTTCTCTAGCTCCATGTAGAACTTCTCGATTTCTCTTTCATCATAATGAGATGTTGGTGCGTAGACAACGAAGATAGAAACTGCAGGCAGTGAGCCACATCTATTCAAATGTAAACGTCCGATTCGGGTTGTTAGGCATTCGAATGAATCAATGCTCTTGGCCAAGTTTGTGTTGACAAGGACACCGACGCCTCCAACACCTCTTTTATCGCATGTTCCGAGGAACAATTCTTCTCCAGTGTCGAAAACGGCATGGTGAGATTCGTGTCTTCTTGTCTCGGTCAGACCAATGATGTCGTACTTGATCATTCGCGCTTGTACCATCAGGTCCTCGATGGATGCATCTGATGCTAGCGTACGTGCATTGAAAGTACAGACGATCATTTTTGTCTTCCTTCGTTGTGGCAGCCTAGGTCGGCCTTGAGATTTTGTCGGCCTCTCCTTTCTCATCCTTCTCAGTGCTGCCATGTCGGTGAAGCCTTCAGGGTCAGGTGAATGAGACCAGTTGTAGTTACTGGTTTTGGCATATCGAATACACAGCGGATAGCTTGCCAGGCTCTTCCGTGCGGGCGGAATACTCTCGGTAGCTTGCCAGTCTTTCCGAGAGGGATAGAGGCTTTTGGGGTGACCTCTAATCACCCTTGTAGGTGTTACCATATTTGAACCCTATCAAATATGGTACGACAATTCCAGAAGACGGGTATTTAGTGTCTTATGATGTGTCGCGCGGCCGCTTGCGGCCGCGCGAGTCCGGAAAGCGTCCTGGAGTGTGGCGACGGCTGGGTAGTGGAAGTAGTGTCGAGAGTGGAAGTCTGCCAGTGGGGTATTTATCTGGGTAGGGTGGGTCTCCTGTGCACAATTCGATCCCTGGGTGGTTGATGGAAGCAGACAGGGCAGGGTAGGGTGGGGCTCCTGATTAGAATCCCTTTGTCACCTGTGGTGGTGGGAGCAAGCAGAGAAGCTCTGTCCCTGGGTCCGCCGAGCCTGGAGTCCAAGGTCTCAGAGAGTTCCGCTTACCTTGTTCTGTGGGTCTTCAGTTGTGCGTGGGTCTCGGCCGGAGCTGCCGCGCGAGTCCGGAAAGCGTCCTGGAGTGTGGCGACGGCTGGGTAGTGGAAGTAGTGTCTGAGTTCATCATGTCGACCAAGACCATTCATGGTAACTCACAGTTCCAGAAGGCAGAATCTAAACGATGGACATGGGA